GAGAGAGAGAGAGAGAGAGAGAGAGAGAGAGAGAGAGAGAGAGAGAGAGAGAGAGAGCGCATGAGCATGAGCATGAGCATGAGCATATGTGTGGAGGTCAGAGGACAACCTGTGAGAGTCAGTTCTTTTCTTTGACTGTCTCAAGAAAGTCCAGTCATCAAGCTTGGCAGCCAGCTCCCTTACCTGATGAACCATCCTGCTGGCTCAGTTAACATGTTTTTGTTGTAAATTCCTGCCTCAAGCTGACAAATCTCCCACTGGACTTCAGTCTGTGGGACTCCTTTTCTATCCCACGTCCCTTCGCTGTTCTGGTCTTTCTAGTCTGCCTAACTCTGATTACAACTACTCTGCTTTTCTGATCTCATCTGGTCTGTAGCCAGAGTAGTTTTGGTTCCTGCTCCATCCTCCAGATGGATCTCTTATCACAGCTTCCTTGGCCAACTTCTCTGCAAGTGACCCATAGATGTACCAGGCTGATAGCTGGGTTCTCGACATTCTAGGGGAGGAATGTTCCACCTCATCCTCCACTTTTGCATTGTGCTAGGCCTACATGGGTCCTTCATCATAAGGCTAAGGAACTCCATGACTCACCCCAACTATTCCCTAAAAGGTAAGGCTTCTTTGTTTATCCTTGTGGTGCTAAAACCCTTATGTATGGAGCTTATTATTTGACAAAAAAAAAAAAAAAAAAAAAAAAAAACAACTAATGAATGGGTAGGATATCTCAGTGGTCAATTTGTGATACCAGGGACACAGAACAGAGCACAGGGGGTTATTAATTTCTGGCCAGAGGATGAGTAGCTGTCATATTTCATAACTTCTGTATATTCTATAAGCCAGACATTGGCTAAAGATGACAAGCAGGCCAAATGTATTCCAACAGCTATTTTTATGGATTAAATCTCGTTAGAACACAGCAACTCCCATTCATTTACATGTCATGTCATCTCTGGCATCTTCTACTCTCCAATAATAAAGTCAAAACACTGTCACAGAAGCCGTATGGCCCTGAAGTATAAAACATTCCCTTTCCGGATCATAAAATCACAAAGTCTAGTGACCTCTAGTGTAGACTATGCCTGTCAAAGCTGGACTGATTAAATTTCTAAAATGTACACAATTCACATAGCTCCTCTCCAAGTTGGCTGGAAAAAAAAATGATAGAAAATAAGCCAATAGTTATGGTGGTTAGACTAATGAATATGGAATAAGCCAAAAGAGAGACCCTGAAAGCAGTATGTCCCGTTGCTCTTTTCTGGAAAAGATTGGGCTTTTTTTTTCTTTCTGACAGAATTAGTATGGTTGTGCTTAGTATTACAGTTCAACAACTTAAATGAATATTCTCCCAAGGAGATGGAAGCCACGGGCATATAAAAATATCCTGTGCATTTTCAGTGCAGACAACATGATTTATTGAGCACCTAAATATAGATAATCTTGCCATCACAATAATTCTTGAATAATTCTGAGTGTTTGAAAAGTATTGGTACAGCATGGGGCAGGGTAGACAGGAAGGAGGCTGTGAGGTAGAGTGCAACATCCAGGATGTGTCTTGGGTGGTACTCTTAGGACATATACATGGCAGAAAGAGAGGGAGCCTTTATAGGAAATGGGAGAAATTTAGAAGCAATGAAATTACAAGGTCTCAGCGCAGCCCACAGGGAAATCTGAAATTGGAATGTTCTTCCAGAACTGTGCACAGGGAAGTGGAGGTGGCTGACCCTTATGAGTATGCAGTGGCCAGTCCTTTGGAACAGACTACCTAAGCAAAGAGATTCTCCACCATGAAGGACAGGTCTCAGAGAGGGCTGGCAGTAGAAGGCTACAAGCTATAATCAGATTCTATCCCAGGAAAGATATGGCAAGGAAAGAATTCTGTCCCTGGTACTGCTACCTTGGTTAAAAGCCCAAGGCTAAGGAGGCCATAGGCCCTTATTATTCTCTAAATGACATGCTATCAAACTGCCTTCCAAGTACTTGCATTCATAACCATAGATCTCGGATACTTTGAATCTTGGTCAGTGGAATGTCTTTTTGCAATGGTCCGCAGCCTATGGACAGATGCCAAACTAGTCCAAGTGCTAAGAATAACAGCCTGAGGACTCAGCCCTAAATGAGACATTAACCTCACAACTACCATGGCTTGGATTACACTGAGGAAAAGGAGAAGAAAGAACGTAAGAGCTGAGGATGGGGAAGAGGGCTCTAAAATGCTGCCCTCCAGACACAATGAGGCTGTTGCCGCTAAGATCTCCCCACAGTTGTGGTTCCTAGCATAGCCTAGCACAAGATCAAGCTGGCCAAAAATCTGGCATCGATCATCTCCAGGCCCCAGAGTCTCCTTAGGAGCTATTGGCAGTGGCCATTTGCTGAGATGGGGGCAGCAAATCATTTTCTTTGGAGGATGTGGCCAGTGATAGTTTCCCATGCTGTAGGGCGTGGCTCCACACTGTGTTGGACTTAGTGGGCTAACCCCCTAAAACAAAAGACAAGATGTTGGGAAGGGGCATGTTGGGGCGATAGGAGGGAATCAGAGGGAGAAATAGGAGCTAGGTATGATCAAATTTCATTGTATACATGTATGAACCGCCCCCCCCCAACAAAGGTAGCTAATTTTAAAAAGCAATGTCATTTATTTTACTTACACAATCTCCTGGATGTTATTCTGTAACAATGTGAATAAATGGTGAATTTTGGATGTGTTATAATTTGACCTAGATGTAAAATTCCACGTGTACCAAAATATACAATGTTTTGGTGAATAACATTTAATGCTGTTTGTAAAGTATCTTTTTTAAAAAGGGGGGACAAGAAAAAGTGTTCTGAGATCAGGTCCACCAACATTTACAGGAGGCTAAACTTCTAAAATGAATAATAGCGGAACAAATTGCAGCTATTCTCAAATGTTAACTGACAAAAGTATTCTGCATTCTCAATTTCCTTACCCTCCACCAGTACCTCTACTATGGAGCTGCCATGGCCTATATCCTCTTAATGGGTCTCAGCCTGTAGTCCCCATACTTTTCTCAGTCCACAGCTACCATGCTTGCCCATCTACTATTAAAATTAGGGAAAGGAGTGCCATGAAAGACCCAAGTCAAACCCACTTCTTCTGTCTCTGTTATGTTTCAGGATCCAGCCCTGAATTATCACAGTCTATTGTCCCCCACCTGACCTCAACTCTTCTCTTACCTGCTGATCCAGTCACACATGAAATTTGAAAGCCTGGTTGGCAATGAAACTCGGTGTCTTAATTTGGTTAACCTCACTGGTACCAGCCTGTCACTTCATAACACCATCAACTCTGCCATGTCTTCCTCACCACCATGGGCACTACTCTCTAAAACCATGAGCCAGGACCTAATTGTCTAAAACTGTGGAGGACGGAGTTGCAGAAAGAGAAAGCTCTACTTCTCCTAAGTAGTTTGGGTGGACTGATGAGATCAGCCATTTCTTCTAAAACATGCTGGCTCCCAGACCCATGGATCTACCTAATTGGATGCAGCACTTGCACACCACTGTGGCTTTACCTCATTAACATAGTTTTGAACATTTTCCTTCTCATCACCAGGCACTGCTGCCCCTGCTTTATCTTCTGGGGAATTGGATCACCTTATTGTTATTAGTTCTCTAAATACTTCATCTGTCAGCATATATCTTCGGAGACTGCCACTGATGAGTTACGGGAGATGCTGGCATTTTCCTTTTTCTGGTGCATCTCTTATTGTTCTGAGAAGCATAGCATCTTCTGGGTCTACCCAGGAAGCAGAGCCAGCTGGCAAGTTTTCCAGATTACAGGGTGCTTCATAGTCTAACATGCCTAACCCTTTGACCCCTCCCCTGCTGTAAGAACTCTGTATTTCTACCTTCACAATATAAGCCATAGCTTTCCTCATGTTTCTCAGAGCCACCTTGACATGTTAGAATCAAGTCCTACAGGCCTTGCCAGGTTGTCTGAGATTTATCACAATGAACCCTTTGACCTTCTCCATGTTCCACCCCCCTAAGTTCAGCACGGTTAACAGGACTCCCTAGGCTTGTTACTATCCTGGTCCCTACTATCCTGGTCTGTATCCCTCATAGATTTTTTGTCATGACTTCTTTATACTCTGGAAGGCATATGATTACTTTTAATTGTCTACTTGATTAGAATTAATGATGCCCGGGGCATTTGTGCGGTCCTCTTGGTATGTCCATGAGGAACATTTCTGAAGACGATGAACTGCCCTAAAAGTATGTGGCACCATTCCATGGCCCAAGATTCTATACTAATGAAAAGGTTGGTGGAGTGGGAGGTTGGATGGGCGCTTACACTTTCTTTTCTGCGCCCCGTGTTCCTTTGAGATGCGTAGGGCTCCAGTACCAAGCCCATAACACCATCAACTCTGCCATGTCTTCCTCACCACCATGGACACTACTCTCTAAAACCATCAGCCAGGCAAATAAACCCTTCCTCCAATGAGTCATTTTACATCAGGTATCTGCTATCTACAGGGAGAATGGTCTAGAGGTTGAATAGAGCATGATTAGTGCCTCTCTGTCCAATTTATCAAAACATTGGATGGAGACATCAGGGGAAATCTTCCTCCAGAGAAGGAATTGGTAACCTCAGACAGGAAGTCTCTTTCAGCCAAAGGCAGTACTTAGAGATGACAGTTGGGGGGCAGCAACAAGAAGAAGTCCCAGCATTCCAGTGCTGTGACGGGAGCTCATTCTCCTCCCACCTGAGAGAACTAGCATGTCCCCAGCTTCTCTATGGGAAAATTCTGCAATCAGTCTATTAAATCAGAAAATGAGTTTAGAATTCATCCTTCTGTCACATTGAAAATACCGAGGCCTGGAAGCCACATACATCCCCCTCAGTGTCACAGATGGTTTGTCCCTGGGACTAGAAGCTAGACTGACTCCTGAACTGGTTCCAAGATCTTCTCCTCTCCCAATAGCTCTTGCCCTTATTTTGCCCTTATCTAGCCCTGGAGGTGGTATGCAGACATTGAGATGAAGATTCCAGGGACCCTAAATTACCATCTAGTGAACTTCTGATACCCTGGGCAAGGAGACATCAGCTCACTCAGTAGCATGGCTTCTTTGACAGCTCTTACACTGCAGACAAATCTGCCAGTCCAGCCAGGCGTGGCTAATGCCAACTCCTGGTATTCAAGGTGCTGCCCCATTGTCCACCATAGGTAATCTTTCCCTCAAAAAAAAAAAAAAATGAATGTGGTGATCCTATCCAATCGCCTTACTTAATAGGAACAATTATTCGTCTCATGTCAAACTATTAATTTTGCTAAGGTATGGAACAAAATCAAACTGGAAAAGTAAAAATACAATGACTCATCTCGTGTCAAACCATTAATTGTGCTAAGGTATGGAACAAAATCAAACTGGAGAAGGTAAAAGTCCCTGTTCTCCAGGATGCAGTAGCTGAGCACTGTAGATGTGTGACTTCTGAAATCAGACAGAGTCAGAGCCCCAGAGCAGAATGAAATAATGCTGCACCCATGTGCTCATCTCCAGCGGGCTAAATGACCCCGGCAAGACAGATGAACAGTTTCAAGAGCTGAAAAGCAGAGGAGAAGGGATCAAGTTCACTCTTCACCACTGGCTCTCAACAAAGGTGTGCATGTGTGTATGTGTGTGCATCTGCAATGTGATCATGTATCTGTACTGTGTGTTCATGTGCTACTGCAGTGTGTGCGTGTGTGGCTGTGTACAAGTGTGCTCCTGCAATGTGTGTTTGTGGCTGTGTATGGGTGTGCTTCTGCAGTGTGTGTCTGTGTGTGTTTCTATAGTGTGTATGTTTGTGTGTGTACTTTTTCAGTGTGTGTATGTGTGTATGTGTACTGTGTGTTTATGTGCTTCTGCATTATGTGTGTGCATTTGTATATGTGTGTGCTTCTACAGTGTGTGTGTGTGTGTGTGTGTGTGTGTGTGTGTGTGTGTGTGTGTGTGTGTTTGAATATCTGACAAAGTTCCCAGAGTTATGTCTTTCCCTTGGGGCATTCCATCTCACAGAAGCAGCCCAAGCCAGCCATGACAGCAGGGTAGACATACTCGTATCACAATGCCCAGGAATGCAGGGTCCCATTTAGTGCATCCTATAATCTCCTCTTCATCCAATCCATCCTGTGATTTCAGCCAATAAGAGCAAACATTTGGAGCTCGTGTTTCGAGAGAATAACATACCAGGACCCTTCTGAGAACATTCATTGTACAGACTAGATGATTATGAAGAGAGAGGGAGGATCACTTGGAGCCAGCCTGGAGTCCAAAGGCCTCATAGAAGGAAGGGATTTAGCCACATTAAAGGTACCTGAATCCATGCTTCTCACTAACAGAGAAAGCACTCCAGAGAGAAACAACCAGCAGTGACTTCCAAATAGGAAGGTGATTAAAAGAATTAAAATAAAATTATTTAAGTTAGTTAAACTACTAACAGTTTGAAAGCCAAATTTATGAGGAGACACAGCTAAAGGGTCCAGGCCTGTGATATTAGAAACTTTGGAAGCTGAGGCAGAGGATAAGTTCACACCCAGCCTGGCCACTTAAGAAAGAGTCTATATCAAAAGGAAAAGTACAAACAGGAGCTGACGATATAGTCAATGGTAGACCATGTGCCTAACTAGGACTCAGGTTCAATCGCTAATACTAAACAAAGCAGGGGCGAGTCAAGCGGTGTCTAGTTGATTCAGTTTGGCAAATAAGATTCCCGGGGGCTTACAAAGATGTCACTTCTCCAACAGATTGAATGTCTGTGTTTTTCCAACCTCCACAGTTCCTGTGTTAAATCCTAGTTACCCTGTTCCCAAAACACACACATGCACATGAGCACACGCACACACACACACACATGTACACACACACACACACACACACACACACACATACACATTTAAGATGATAGATAAGGCTTTAAGGAGGTCACTGAAAAGTGCAGTAGAGTCCCGACAGATGGGATGCACAGCCCTATGAAAGGGACCCGAAGAGCTCTTGCCATCCTTTTAACAGGCGAGTACATACGCAGCAGGGCAGCCACCTAGAACCTGAAAGAGGACGCCTTGGAATCCAGCCTCCAGATCCACAAGAAATAAAACCCCACTGTTTAAGCCACATGATTCATGAAACATTTGTATAGGAGCCAGAAATAACGATGGCAGACCCATAACCAGGGCTTAGAGCAGGTGCAAAGTATGACCAAGGGTCATGCGCAGCTCAGGGCTCTTGGGCCAAGAAGAAAGGGGTATCTGCCACAGGCAGCCACACCCTTCCGGCAGTTTCATGGAAATGTGGCCCCTTCTTAGAGTCGTAAAACACCACCCCGGTGTGAAAGACTCGAAGACTCGGCAGTCATTCTCTCATTTGACAAATTAAGGCACTGGCTTCATGGGATGACATCCCGCCAACATTCCCAAGGAAGTAATTGGCAGAGCACCACTGGATCCCATTGTACCTGACCTCTGGGTCAGCATGTTTAATCCAACCAGCCACTCTGTGTCTCTTAAGTGCTGCTCTGGGGGAAGCTGACAGTCCGGCAGGACTCGAAGGTAAAGCCAGAATTAGATGTACCTGTCACTAGCCTGCCTCTCACCCGAGACACCCAGGGCCTTCGATGCTGGCTGTACCCTCCAGCACGCCCCTGCTACAGTCTCCCCTGAGGACAGGGTTTTGTTTGTTTTTTTTTTTCTTCTTTCCCCAGTGTTCATCCGAATGACAGTTTTGAAGACAACTGGCCCGGGACAGGTCATTTTACGACTCTCCTACATCAGGAGCGTCTCTCAGCCTCAGCCCTCCGCACCTGTTCACACAAGCGTCTCCCTGGGCAAAGCAAACACCTATTTTGGAGTGAGCACTCCTTCCCTGTGGCCCCGGCCAATTCCCACACTATTCTCAAGCCACCATCTTTCAGAATGTGACCCTTCGGATCAGACCCACCCCTGCCCCAGGACAGAGAAGATAAGCATCACGGAGCAGACCGATTGACCTGCCCTAGGCAGTAGCCCCCAGATGCTGCCCTGTGTGCTTACGGGACTGCAGGAGTACCGCCAGGGAGATGGAGTAATCAACTCTCTCTCCCATGAGGCAACTGCACAGTGGTCGTGTCTAGAAAAGAAAAAATGTCATTACTGCCCATGGGAGAGTGTAATGACCCAAATTATGGCCTGTCAGATGAGGCAACGCTTAGCCCAGGGAGTACGCCGCAGCACACAGGGCTCACAGAGCAGGTGAGGGAAGAAATGTGCCTCTGGGTAGCCTATGGGAGGTGGGAGCCTGGGCCCCGCAGGCCAGGTGCAGACATCTGTTTCCCCATCCCGTAACTGTGAAAGCCCTTCGGCTCCTCCCTGGGAGACTACAAGGATGGAGCACAGCTGGGGTGGGAAAAGACATGGGATGGAATATACAGCAGCCACCTTTTAGGCAAGGTCATGTGGCTACTAAACCTCCTGTGGACCAGAATGATTAAAGGACATTACTTCCTTCTTGGTTTAGTTTCGTCCACTCTTTAATCTTTTTCTTTGTGTGTCTGTGGTATATGAAGTATGTGTGTGTGTATGTCACACACACACACACACACACATACATACACACACACACACACACACACACACACACACATATATATATATATA